AAAAAAAAAAAAAACGACAAAATTCACAAACCAAAATTGCACAGGAAATCTCCGATATGGCGGATATTATCAGAAATAACTTGAGCGTATTCACGATTATTCCAATCTTCTCTTAACTGACGCTGAACAAGTGTAACCTTTAGATTACATGCATTCATCCACCTTCACAACGCTCTACTTCGTCTGCAAAACAATGAATCAATTATCAATCAACATTCTAAGTGTTAAAAAAATGAGAACACGAGTTATGAGCCAGTGACTAATGAGTCGAATGTTACAAAATAAAATAATTCTTGCTCATATTTAAGACTAACAATTGCTATGACTATACAAAACTTCGTTCTTCTGATTAAAAAATCTTTCTCTACCTGTGAACATAGCCCAAAATACATCATACTTATATATATATATATCACAATAACTCCGTAACAGAAACAACATGAAAACTATTAAAACTAAACAGCAAATTAAAGGGTTATATTTTTTGTTTTTATATCCTTCCATCTAAAGTGGTCAAATAGAGCGATACTCTAACTGTAATAAATAACTTCTCAACGCCATTAATAACAATAACTTTCTACAGAGAAAATTTACGGCCGAAAGAAAATTTGGTAAAGACATGAAAATTTAGTATCTCAAAATATAAACTGCTTTTTAAAACTGTTTCAAAAATATTGAAAGTTTAGTAATTATGCAGAATCAACTTTATGAAACCCTACTCACAACAAGAATAGATCCTAAAGATTCCAATCTTTAGAAAATCAGTTCCAACTCTCGATTAATCTCGTCCTTACTGCTATGTAATCACTCACATTTAATCTCATTTTGTTGTTGTTTTTTTCTAATTGTAGTCTTTTCTATTATTGCACGTGCTCTTTGCGTGTATGAAAGTGCTTATTTCCTCCATTACATTCAGGTAATATTTTTCTGCCTCGGTCTTATAACTTTAATTGTGTCAGAATCCTTTACTGTAATTTCTTCACAATCATTGTTACTCTTTCCGAATTTGAAATTTAAATAGAAAAATATAAAAAACTTAAAATTTAGATTTATAAAATATTTCGAGAGAACCAGTTTAGCTCATTTCAATTATTTTGCCTTAAAAGCTTAATAAATCTTTTTTCTTTTTTTTGCTTCGTTCTGATCTTAAGCGAACTATTGAAATGAATTTGATGAAAAAACATGGATACGAAACAACTGCTAAATAATTCAGTAATATGCGAAGTACGTTAGAAAAATTAGTGTAGAATAATAAGATACATATATTCAGAAAATACAAGTGAGATTATATATGATAACTATTCGAACTTAATAACAGAACGAATGATGAAAAGTAAAAGATAAAACGTTTCAAAATCAGTTAAAAATGAAGAGATCAAATGCTTTAAGCATGGATTCAAGCATCAATATAGTTTTTTTTTGAAACAAAGTAAAGTTTACTATAGAAAATTAGCATAACTTTGTCCATGTGGATAATAGTAATTGAATGAAAATGAAAAAAACATTTGAAAAGGATATTTTGAGATGAGTTAAAAATAGACTTTTGCTAGGTACTGCAAGCAGATTAATTCTAGAAAATGAAAAAGAAAAGTAAAGAAAATGGAAAAAGTGTGAGTATATTAATATATTAATATATTTTGCGTTTATTCAAATACTACTGTGAGTACATTAATTATAGAAACTAAAAAAACAAAGAAATGAATACTACGAAAACCTATTAATTTTTCAATCATAAGCTTTTTAATGAGCTAAAAAGATCAGAAATTACGTTAAACTAGAAAAAGACTATTTTGAATGTTAATTTTGTGTAGATGAATGAATTATAACAACAGTAATTAAGTAGTTTTTGTAGCAATGGCATATTTCCAATGACAATACTAAATTATCCATTTTTCAATCTGTTTGTAAGACAAACAGTTGCAAAGTGCGGTAGCTGAATTGTGTGAAAGTCCACATTCTCAAATGCGAAGGAAGTAGATGGCTGTCATTGTAAAATTTGGGAAGGAGTGATTGTAGAAGCATAGAATAGCAGATATCACTGCAAAGAATTCAGCAGAGAAGAGGAGGACAGTATGGAGAATATTACTGGCATAACTGCAAGTTTCATTCATTTGTGGTCTGAAAGAATGTGCAAGTTGAAGTGCTAAAATTTTGCTAATTTCGGTCCTAGAATTAACGGTCATAATTTTATGCATTTCACGCATGTGGTTGAAATGAGTGGGTCAGATGTATTTGGTATGGCAGTAGTTGCGTTAAATTATTTATAATTTTCAGTGAATTGGTGAGATGATTCTACTGTCAGTTTCTGTTATTCTTAGTTCTGTTGTAGATGTTATTCATGCGGATCTGTTGAAAGGCTTGTATTGTGGAACCCAAAGTTGTTATGAAGGTTGGAAAGTTTTTTACTATTGGCTTGCTAAAGAAGTCTTTGTTTCAACTACTTTTAAAAAGTCAGATATGCTTTTAAGCATGGAATATTCAATTTATGTATAAGAATATAATACCAAGACCTATTAACTAGGCAAGAGTTGTCGTTAATATTCACAATGCTTAGACAGATTCACTCTCATCCCAGGTCATGGTTGAAATTGAACACATTGTTTGCATATTATTTCAATTTTCACGTTTCAGTTCTCAATATTGAACGTTCGAAATTCACCAAGGTTCTTTCTTCTTGCTTTTTTCATGTTTTCGAACGTAAATTAAAATGTCAGGTTTCGCCTCATTTAAATTCAAAGTTTGTACATTTTTTTTGTCATGAACACGAAATTTTGTAACTTAAATAAACTTATGATAATTTCTGTGATAATTTATATGTAATTTTAGAGCGCTCTGGGAAGGGCATACCGCAAGTTGGCAGCTCAGTATCATCCTGATAAAGTAGTTGGGGTTGGTGGTAATGGTTATTCATTATTTATTACTATTAATGTACAATATGGTGTTATTTTTTCCAATTTGAATCATTTTGCATTGTTATTTCAGTTGACGTAGTTTCGCTTTCAATTCATGGAAGGGTTCATAATAGTACTCAAGTAATTACTGTTTAGTCCAAGAAGAAGGAAGCAGAGAAAAAATTTCATCTAATTGCGACGGCTTATGAGACGTTAAAGGATGATGACACACGAGTTGATTATGATCATTATTTGGATCATCCAGAACAACGAGCTTATAATTATTATCAGTATTATCGCAGAAGAGTCGCTCCAAAAGTTGACGCACGAATTGTTATTTTAGTTTTAGTGG